TCGGACGCTTAACCGACTGCGCCACCCAGGCGCCCCAGGCTGGTCTTTAATTTTAAGTGTTCTGATAGGTGCCTCGTGGACTCTCATGGTGGCCTGGGTTTGCATGTTCCTAATGACTAACGGTGCTGACCATTTGTAAATGCGCTTCTAGGCCATCCGTATATCTTCTTTGGAGAAATGTCTATTCAAATGCTTTGCCCGTTGTTTTCATCGGACTAGTCATCTTATTGTTGAGTTGTAGGAGTTCTTTATATATGGTGGATACTAAACTCTTATGACAAAAACGATTTACACACTTTTTTCCTTCCATTTTGTGCATTGTCCTTTCACATACTGCCTTTAAAAAAAAATCAGATTCTAGGGGCGCCTGGGTGGCGCAGTCGGTTAAGCGTCCGACTTCAGCCAGGTCACGATCTCGCGGTCCGTGTGTTCAAGCCCCGCGTCGGGCTCTGGGCTGATGGCTCAGAGCCTGGAGCCTGTTTCCGATTCTGTGTCTCCCTCTCTCTCTGCCCCTCCCCCCCGTTCATGCTCTGTCTCTCTCTGTCCCAAAAATAAATAAAAAACGTTGAAAAAAAAATTAAAAAAAAAAATCAGATTCTTTTCTTCTGATTGAGTTTGGAGAGTTCTTATATATTCTGAACACAAGTCCTTTATCAGATGTGTGATTGGCGAATGTCTTTCCCCCAGTCTGTGTCTTGTCTTTTCCATTCTCTTACCAGTGACTTTCAAAGAACAGAAGTTCTGAATTCTGATAAGGCCGAATGTATCAATATTTTCGTTAGGGCTTGATTTTTTGGTGTTGTTTCTTAGACATCTTTGCTTAACCCAAGGTCACATCAGAAGTTCTATGTTTTCTTCAAGAATTTTTTCATGTTAGGCTTAACATTTACATTTTAGGATCCGTTTTGAGTTAATCCTTGCGCGTGCGTGCGTGTTAGATAGTGGTTCAGTTTTTTGCGTGTGGCCATCCATCCATTCCAGCGCCGTTTACTGAAGACTCCTTTCCACACTGGGTTTGTACCTTCGTGGCAAACCAGTTGAACGTGCATGTGGAAGTCTATTTCTGGACTCTCTTTGTTCCATTTATCTCTCTGTCCTCATTCCGGTATCACACTGTGTTGATCATAAGTCACTTTATAATAAGTCCTGTATCAGTTGACGTAAAACTCCTTTTTTAGGGATTCTTGTACTCTGAACCCTCCTCGGGAAACCCTATTTATTTATTTATTTATTTTTTTTTTTTTAAATTTTTTTTTTTTTTCAACGTTTATTTATTTTTGGGACAGAGAGAGACAGAGCATGAACGGGGGAGGGTCAGAGAGAGAGGGAGACACAGAATCAGAAACAGGCTCCAGGCTCTGAGCCATCAGCCCAGAGCCCGATGCGGGGCTCGAACTCACGGACCGCGAGATTGTGACCTGACTGAAGTCGGACGCTCAACCGACTGCGCCACCCAGGCGCCCCCGGGAAACCCTATTTAAAGGGAACTGCCTCACTTCCTCCAAGTTCCCCTTCTACGCCTATGACTTTGGGTGGGCCATGACTCCTACGGGCCCCGGCGTTTCATCCCTGAACACCAGAATCTGTGCTGCTTTCTAGGGGTGCTGGGAGCACGCAGTAAGAGGACGCTTGCAGTGCCTGGATGAGACTAAGCCTGTGATAACTGGTCTCCAGGTGACTGTGGAATTCACCTGGGAGCCAGGATGGGACTCCTCATTTTGGTATCCTTGTCCTTGGCAGGACCCAGAGTGGCGGCCTCCCCCAGGTCACCAGGCAGCTAATGGGGAAGACATAGTACAGCCGGTGAAGGCTTTTTGCACCTCGGACAGCCGTGGGCAGCAACCGGGAGACAAGCCCGCCGAGGAGGTGGACACCCCATGTATCGGGCCACAGGGGGCTCTGCCAGAGCCTGGCCCAGGGGGACATGAGGACAGTTCTCGGGGGGCAGGGCCCCGAGTGCCCCTGGCAACTCTGGAGGAAAAGACGGCCAGCTCCTTCCCACCATCCACGCCAGGACCTGACCCCCCAAAAGGAGGGTAAGCCATCCCCTGATGCCATCCCCTACCCCACTCCCTGGCCCAACGAGGACATGCTTCTGGTAAGTTACCGGTGAGGTGAATTCTAGTCCTGACTCCTCCTGACCTGATGTAGGACCTCGGGCAAGTCACGCCCCTCTGGGCTTCAGTTTCCCCGTCTGTATGATAGCTCTGACACCAGAATTCTTTGTGCTGCAAACCTGTGCTTTAAGGGCCTTGTCCTCACGTGGGGATGTGAGGGAATGAGGGGCCCCTCTGAGATTAGAAGGCCGGAGGGATGCAGGGATCATCTGAGTGTCCTGGGGGCGGAGGGACGGTCGGCGCAAAGGACAAGTCTTGAGCTGAGCCCCTCTGCCGTCCCGGGGTCTCTCCCTTGTTTAGGGTCGAGGGGGTGGAGACCCAGCCAACACCAGGGCCTGTTCTTCCACCAGTAAGTAGACCCAGAGTGGGGGGTGGGGAGGGCACAGGTGGGCAGGAAGAGGAAGGAGGGGGCTGTGGTATTTGGAGTCCAGCTGGGGAAGGCGTAGGTGTGAGTGTGTACGTGGAGGCACACGCATGCGTGTGTGTTTGCACGTAGGCGTGTGTGTGCGTCTTGTGGGGGGGGGGCGTGGTGGTCAGAGGATGCCCTTGTACTCTGGAGCTTGGAAAGAGGAGCAGAGCCCTGGGCTGGTAGCTGGAGGGGTTGGTCAGGGGGGAGATTTTTTTTAGGAAGATAATAACGGACGAAGCAGAGCCGATACCCTCAGGGACAGGGTGTGAGGCAAGCCCTGTGTCTCATCTGGGAGAAAGGGCCCAGGAGTCTGTGCAGCATGGCCTGGGGGCTGGAGGTGGACTGGGGACGGCCCATCCCTGTATTGGGAGGGACAGACGCAGGAGGTGGCTGGATTTGCCGGACGAATGAGTGGGCATTTATTAGGCGCCTCGCATGCGTCGTCCCGGGCAGTTATGGAGGGTCCCTTCCCGTGTCCTGTCCCCAGGAGATGAGGGACACTGGAGAGAGGAGGGACCTGGATCCCGTGCAGAAGCAGCCTCAGGCGCCCATGGTGGCCGCAGGGGCCCAGAACCTCGGGAACCTTCGGCAAGGCTTCATGAAGTGCTTGCTGGAGGTGGAAGAGGCGGAGGCCACACATCGGAGGGCGACGGCCAAGGCCCGGGCCCTGCCAAACCGGAAGTCCCCCAGGACCCTGACCCCTGTGCCCAGCTCAGCCCCCAGCCTGCTTCTGACCCTGCCTCAGACCCCCGCGCCGGCCCCTGTGATGGCCCCATCCTGGGCCCGGTGGCCAGCCCCCGGGTCAATCCCTGCCCCGGTCCCAGGGCCCGTGGTGGCCCTGCCGCCCCCCACCCTGGACGCGGGCTGGAGAAGGACAGAACTCCTGCACCCGAGCGGAGACAGGAGCCTGAGCAGCTCCAAGGCACGGTAGGAGCCACCCCGCAAAGGGCGCCCAAGGTCACAGCCCGTGTCCCAGTGTCCCTGTCACTGCACCTGTTCCTGCTCGGGTGTCCTCTCTCCGTTTCTCCTCGCTTCCGGTCCCCTCCCTCCCCCACACCTAGGTCTTTTCTCCCCCCATCTCTGACAGCTTTTCCCTTCCTAACCCTCCCACAGTGTGTCCCTTCCCCTCATGGCCCCTCACCCCTGCCGCCTCCTCACCGGGGGTCACTCTGAGAGACTCTCTTGACTTCCCAAGCGTCTTCCCGGTGCCCTCCCCTGTCCCCCCCTTCCCCCTCACCCTCCCCTAGCTTCCTGGGGGAGGCTCCGGGCCAGGGAGGGTGGCTGGACATGTGCCCCTGCCCCGGTCCGTCCTCTGCAGGCAGGAGCTGGAGGAGTGCGGCCTCCTCAAGCTGTCTCAGACCCGGGAGGAGAGGTCGGAGGAGCACCTCACCCTGAAGCAGGAGGAAGGTGAGGGCAGCCCCGCCGCACCCCACCCCAGCCCCAGGAGGGCACACGGCTGTCCTCCTTCCGCCCTTCTCTCCTCTCCCAAGTCTGTGACCTCTCCGTCAGCCGTGGCCGGCCGTGGCCCCTTCTGGCTTCCCCGAAAGTGCTCTCTGGCTCCCCGTGACCCCTTCCTGGGGTCTGTTCTATGCGCCAGACTTCAGAGTCTATCATGTGCCAGGCACTGAGTTAACACAACTGCTCTCAGAAGAAGAGGCACCGTTCTGCCCGTCTCACAGATAGGAACATCGAGGCTCAGAGAAGTACAGCGACTCACCCACGGCAATTGTAGAGTTTGCTTGGGCCGCCACAACAGAGTATCCCAAACTGTGTGGCTGAGCATTTATTTCTCACAGCTCTCAAGGTTAGAAGTCCAAGATCAAGGTGTTGGCAGATTTGGTGTCTTCTGAGGCCTCTCTCCTTGGCTTGCAGGCGGCCGCCTCTCCTTGTGTCCTCGTGTGGTCCTCCCTCTGTGCACACGCATCCCTGGTGTCTCTTCCCACATTTCCTTTCCTTGTAAGGACACTCGTCACATTGGATCAGGACCCATGCTACTGTCACATTTTAACTTAACCGCCTCCAGGGGCACCTGAGTGGCTCAGTCGGTTAAGCGTCTGGCTTTGACTCAGGTCACGTGAACTCACTCTTGGGAGTTCGAGCCCCACGTCGGGCTCTGTGCTGACAACTTCAGAGTCTGCTTAAGATATTCTCTCTCTCTCTCCTTCCACCCCTCTCCCCTGCTTGCGCGCTCTCTATCTAAAACAAAACGAACAAACAAAAAATTTAAAGGGGCACCTCCGTGGCTCAGTCGTTGGGCGTCTGACTTCAGCTCAGGTCAGGATCTCACAGTTCGTGGGTTCGAGCCCCGCGTCGGGCTCCGTGCTGACAGCTCAGAACCTGGAGCCTGCTCTTAATTCTGTGTCTCCCTCTCTCTCTGCCCCTCCCCTGTTCACACTCTGTCTCTCTCTCCCTCAAAAATAAACAAACATTAAAGTAAAAAAAAATTTTTTTTTTTAATTTAACTTAACCACCTCTTTAAAGGCCCTGTCTCTAATGCAGTCACATGCTAAGGTAGTGGGGACTAGGGCTGCAACAGAGGAATCTGGGTGGGATGCAATTCAGCCCATGAGGGCAACGCGGCTTATTGTCAACTGGTGGAACCAGCTGTCTCTCTAGGTCTGTTGACTCTCCCTGCATTTTGCTGTAACGAGAGGGCTGAGAAGCCAGGCACTCTCAACGTTATGACCAGGCCGTGGCTTTGGTATCAGTTGGTGCTTTTCTGGAATTTTCTCAGTGTGCTTCCAGCCCTCTGCTCTGGTCCAGACAAGCTATCCTAGAAGCCTAGTCCGTGCAGATAATTGACCACACAGCACCAAAGCCAAAGAGTCAGAAAGACCTGCCCGGCTAGTCTCTAAGCCTCAGTTTCCCTATCTTTACAAAAGGAACACGCATTCGACTCTTTTTTTAAAAATTTTTTTTTTCAACTTTTTTTTTATTTATTTTTGGGACAGAGAGAGACAGAGCATGAACGGGGGAGGGGCAGAGAGAGAGGGAGACACAGAATCGGAAACAGGCTCCAGGCTCTGAGCCATCAGCCCAGAGCCCGACGCGGGGCTCGAACTCACGGACCGCGAGATCGTGACCTGGCTGAAGTCGGACGCTTAACCGACTGCGCCACCCAGGCGCCCCCGCATTCGACTCTTAGAGGTTGTCGTAAGAATTTAATATGAGAACACGGCCGTAAAGAGCCCAGCATGGTGCCTGGCACATGGCAGGGGTGCCCTCAATAGGGCGTGTGCCCTCCTGGTACAAAATGAAGATCGCTAAGGAGGTTAGCATTTGGTGCACCAGCTGAACCCTTGGCCTGACCTTGTAATAGAGAGTAGACTGAGTAGAGTGCGTGAGTGGGCCTGCGCCTTCCACTGTCGTCCTTTTAGTGACCTTTGCCCCTCCTCCCGGCCATGGTGTTAAAGGATGCCGGGGCAGGAGGGTGGTTGGAAGGGGTGGAATGAATGGTAGCAACAAGCAATGTCCCTGCCTCACGTGACCCCGCGGCGCCACCCCCCCCCC